AGGATCAGTGCATTGCATGCCATCTACTTCATGAATATGTACAAAACCTTTTGATATCCACTCATCCATCCATTTTCTTTACTCACATTTTATTTTCTTTGTTGCGGGGGGAGCTGGTGCCCGACTCCAGCAGTCATTGCACGAGATGCAGGGTACACTCAGGACAGGCCGCAAGTCCAACACATTTAGAGCAGTTTCAAATTACCAGTGTAGATATGTTTTTGTTTACAAGTCATCATTTATGCATTTTTAAACTACAACCTTGTTGGATATAATTCATTTAAAATCATATGGGAGGATGTTCTTCTTCTAAACATCTGTTTAGAAGATAATGTTTTATTGCAATGTTTCCACTACAGCAGTAGTCTCTGTAAACAAGACATCAGTTATATTTATTCTTACCCAATTCAATGTCCACCATCGGCTCCTTTTGGAAACTCTCTCAAGTCCTATCTTTACTGATGGTCACCATGACGATAGCAATCCTTCGACTGTGGCTTAATCAGAAGCAGTGGAAATTGGAGGGGTTTTGGATGGCTTTACGTCTGTATCCTCCGTGGCGATGATGCACAAATGGGTTACTGCTTCAGCTGGAGTGGAGGAAACCAACTTTCTTGATTCTTATAAACCTGCAGTAGTGTCCACAGTGTCAAATAAATGATCCTATACATATTTGTTTCAATTTTTGGATTTACAATTGATTAAACAGAGACCTGATTTATTGTAGAAGACTTCAAATAGTCTGTTTTTTATCTAGTTGTATATGGTAAGAATATGAACTCCTTTCTCACTTCACCACTTGCTCTTGTCGAGGTCGGATGCATTTCCCCTCCCCTCCCTCTCTGCTTTGCTTTGCTGCTCTGTCTGTCTGTGAAACTGCTTCTGAGCCTCTCTTGCATATCTTCCAAACCATAATTATGGACCTGTTTTGATCAGTTGGTCCCTCAACACAATTGATAACATTTCTTCGAAGAGAAGACAGGCTTTAGGTGAGTCGATTTGCCCTGTTGGCACGCATGCAGCTGGATATCTCATCGACTTGGAAGGCTTGATGATGTGTCTATCTCTGCTGCCATTTGTGGATTTTAAGGACACATATTTAATTGGATTTATGATAACTGGTTCCTGCTTTTTGGATTCAGCTGGTTGCTGGTTTTATCAACAATCAAGGAAGTCATCGGCAGCAAATTTGGACACGATCAGGCTGCTTGCCTTTATGATGGCTTGGTTCGTGCCTCGAGTACCCAGACTCAAATGTTTTGGGCAGAATGGATCAGATCTTGGGGATTTTACTCAGTCACGTTCTATCAGTATGGCCATGTAATTTGGAAATTTCAGAACCGAGTGGACCAACACAGACTCAAGGTAGATGTCAGTAAGTTCTGCCTGTCCCCAAAACATCTGTGTGTTTATCTGAATTTGGCTCCCTTGGCTGGCCTTGAAGGGCATCTTATCTGAATTTGCCTGGAGAACAAGTGATCTGATGCTCACCACCCTCTCCCTGAGGAATTTCCAACTGATAACCAGATTAAACCAGCTGAATAAACTTGTGCCATCATTTCAGGACTCTTGGATTCTCATAGACGTTATTCTTGACCATTCCTCGACATACCTCGAGAATGTTTACGGTTCTCACCGGAGGACATTGGCTGATTATTACATCCTTATCATAACTCTTACAGTGTCCTCGAGAGCATCTATGAACATTGCTCACCGCTCTCGTCTCCCCCCTCTGCAGAATGCGTATGTCACTATGTGCTTGTTTGTGCAAGGTGTTTTTCTAATATCAGAGTTTTTTCTTCTCAGGCAGAAAAAAAAAAGTCTGATAGGAATTTTCTTTGCCTCCAATTCCTACATGTATCCAGTTTCATTACTTTTTGTATGTCTAAACAGATCTCACTTGTAAATGAGTCTTCTAGGCTCAATGTGATTTATCTGTCTAAATAAAGGTTGAATGAATGCCCGTTACAATATTAATTTTAGTTAACAAGTTCCTTTTGTTTGTTTACAAACCATGAAACTTCATCTGCACAAAACCAGATTGTCTCTGATTCTGATCATTTAAATTAATTAGGTGGTATGTATCACTGAAATAATATAATTCTGATTGTGAATTGAATTTCCTCCCACTGAGTGTTTGTATGCCTCGTAAACTTGGCACTCCACAACTCAAGCGTGCAATCAATGCTTTAATGTTTTTTCATACCTCTTGTAACATAATGGGGGAAAATTATTCTGGGTGTGCGACCCTTCAATTACACCACTACTCAGGATTGTGGTATGCATGTGAATATTGTCATCAGTGACTCTGATGGTAAAGAAATACCATTTTGTTAGTCCAAAGCTCCTGTCTCTCTTTGTAGATCTTGAGCTCATGAATAAGTGTCATGATGGTTGCAACAGTAAAATGTTGCATGTGTTACAAGACCTTTTACTGCCCATTAAACTATAAAAAGTCTAAGACACACAACCACAAAATAAAAACCATTACATCACTTTGTGGTTAAAAACACGACAGGGCATGTAACTAGTGCCACCACTTTTAATTCTTAACAGAATGTGACTGAAAATGAGTGTGTGCTGGTGTTACACTTGTTAGACAAGCCAGTGGTAAATTATTTGTAGTAGTTGTAACAAACATTTCATATGGTACATGGTACATCTGATGGGTCTAACTTCAGCTGAGCCTGGTTCTCTGGGTTGTTACTTTCTCTGGAAAATACTCAGTGTTCATTGTTATAGAGAGGGATTAAAAAAAAGTTAATTCTTTACAAAAAAATTGGATTGAAAATAAAAAATGGCTGGCCGAGTCTAAACATAGAGTGGCAGAACTATGAACACGAGAAAAAGAAAAGTCTTACAAAAAGCAAAAAGTATTTTTATTATGTTATGAGCAAGCCTGGCACAGTTAATGCAATAAACCCAGCTAACATAACTCAGTAAGTTGGGGTATTTATCTCTGCTATGATGGCCTTTATGTACAGTAAAGTGAAACTAGACCATTGCACAGTAACTACTGCAAAGGTTTTGTGTTCAACATACAAGTGTAAATCAAGGATGAGAGTTGTTCACTTTTAAGCAGCGTTCCCTTTGTGCTTCTGGGCTGAAATAGTCTCTCAACAATGCATCAGTTGCTGTTAGTGTCATCACTGCTAAAGGTGTTTACTTAAACTATGCTTTTGTTGTCCATTATCCAATTGTTTTTTCCTATAATGAGCAAATAAAATCCGTTGTACAAGCGACTTCACTGACATATTTTATTAGCTGCCCCAACAACCATTTTGAATAACAGAGATATGCAGAATAATTGTAAATTATTATTATGCAGAGAATGTAGAATTTGTAGCCTGTGGGGGTGACATTATAACGCTAAAATTATCTAATGACGTTTAACATTTATGATATTGATATTTTTACAACTGAAGACAAATGAAAAGACCATGGTTCTTTTAAAGAGGCATCAACTTATGGCGAGGGGGCAGGGATGGTTAAAACAACAACAACTATGAACTATACAGGTGTGACTTTTTTTTAAATTGTGAAAAAACTAATTAGGTATATAAATAAAGCATAAAGTTAAAGTATGTTTTACTCCTTGTACTAGTTCCAGTATTCACATGTTTGCAAAAAAAAAAAAGGGCAGGAAAACTGCTAAAACCAATTCTTTTTTGTTGTTGTTTGTATAAAAAAACAATAAAAATCAGTGTTATGTTAGTTTTGGTCAAAGCTTGACAGAGCTGCTGCAGAGAAGAGCTGTACGTGCCTCCAGAGCCACAGGTTACAAATCCATGAACCAACAGCATCTAAATGTGCATCTACACCTGCCTCCACCATCATTTGTCCCACTCTTAGCCCTTGAGCAAGTCCCTTAACCCCCACCATCTGTTCCCCCTTGGTGCCCTAGATAGCAGCTCTCTGCTCCACACAGAGGGCTGTGGTAGCTCGGTGGTCTGTGGTTGTGTCAGGAATGGTGTCTGGCATAAAAACAATTGCCAAATCTTCATGGGAGTTAATTTGTTGTGGAGACCCCAGACAAAAGAAGAACAAGTTTTTATTGCTGTCCTTTTTAAGTATTAATGATTTTTTAATTAACTGTGTTTATGTACTATATTATCTTATACATACTTGCAAGGACAGTTACACATGAAGACTAACACATAAAACTGTTTTGCAAAATGAATCACATTTAACAGTAATAACAGTATATTATATATGCATTATAATTATAGAATTATAATGCATTGATATGATTGGAACTAAACAGGGGAAAAAAGAAAAAAATCTGTTTTTTTATTTTTTTTATTTTAATCTTCATGTTTGCTGCACCAGCCTAAAGACATGGTGATGCTGAGGCTGAGGCAAAGCAGGATTTTTTTTACTGCACTGGACTAGAGTACTTTGCACTGCTTTTTGCTTTCACCTCGCTATTACCTGTCAGTCACAGTAATGTGCTGTGGGCTTCCAGGCCCATTTGCCGCTGCCTTGCTTTGATGCCCACCAGCAAGTTGTTTTCACTATGCTTTCATGTACACCGTGCACTTCTTTAGAGAGCTAATTTCATGCTTTTTGGTCTTGAAGAAGTGCAGCATTGATTGCTGTTTCCTGCTTTCTTTAAATTGATTATCATTTGTAATTTAAATGGAAGAAAATAAACTATAATGACTCAATTCTCATTTTTTTCATTAAATATCAGACAGTTTTATGGTCATGGATGCTTAAATTCTCATCAGATTAATTTTAAATAAGAGATCTTCAGTTGCATCTTGCTCCACCATTAATGCAGTGACCTGAAACATTTTATTCAAAACTATTATTAGGTAATTCCACCCCTGAAATCCAAATAAATCAGAGAAAACATCATGTGCATGACTATTACAATCCAAAATGCCCTCTTCCAGAAGCATTACAGCATGACACAGAATATAAATTACCCGCTATGTGGCTTGCAAACAAATTACACAATTTCTGACATTTCCTACCTGTCTCACTTCATTTTGCAGTTGGTGGGGGGTGAATTTGACCTGGAGACAAACTTCATCATTCAAGATGCAGGAAGCATTGGCTGCATGCTGGAGCTACAGGAACACTGTGATGTCACCTGCCAGGCTGAGATCTGGAGCATGTTCACTGCCATCCTTCGGAAAAGTGTAAGAAATCTCCAAACGAGCACTGAAGTGGGACTCATTCAACAGGTGCTGCTCAGAATGAGATCAGTGGATGACATGATTGCAGGTATGACATTTATGTGAGCAGACTTTTTTTTATAAAGCATTTTAGCTGTGGTAATTTGGATTAATGTCTCAGGAAATGGGTCAAGATTAAAAACAAGCTACAGTTGTTTAGGTTGGGTTAGTTTCTGTTACATTTCAGCCTTTAGGGAATGTGTTCATTAAAAGGAGTCTCAAATTCCAGGGCTTAGCCACTGTCCTGTGTTTCAAAGTACAAACCGGATTCCAAAAAAGTTGGGACACTAAACAAATTGTGAATAAAAACTGAATGCAATGATGTGGAGATGGCAAATGTCAATATTTTATTCGTAATATAACATAGATGACAGATCAAAAGTTTAATCTGAGTAAATGTAACATTTTAAAGGAAAATATGTTGATTCAAAATTTCACAGTGTCAACAAATCCCCAAAAAGTTGGGACAAGTAGCAATAAGTGGCTGGAAAAAGGAAATTAAGCATATAACGAAAAGCTGGAAGACCAGTTAACACTAATTAGGTCAATTGACAACATTATTGGGTATAAAAAGAGTTTCTCAGATTGTCAGTGTCTCTCAGAAGCCAAGATGGTAAGAGGATCACCAATTCCACCATTGTTGCACAGAAAGATAGTGCAGCAATACCAGAATGGTGTTACCCAGCGTAAAATAGCAAAGACTTTTAAGTTATCATTATCAACCGTGCATAACATCATCAAAAGATTCAGAGAATCTGGAACAATCGCTGTGCGTAAGGGTCAAGGCCGTAAAACTCTACTGGATGCTCGTGATCTCTGGGCACTTAAACGTCACTGCACCTCAAACAGGAATGCCACTGTCAAGGAAATAACAGAATGGGCTCAGGAATACTTCCAGAAAGCATTGTCAGTGCACACAATCCACCGTGCCATCCGCCGTTGCCAGCTGAAACTCTACAGTGCAAAGAGGAAGCCATTTCTAAGCAAGCTCCACAAGCTCAGACGTTTGCACTGGGCCAGGGGTCATTTAAAATGGAGTGTGGCTAAATGGAAGACTGTTCTGTGGTCAGATGAGTCACGATTTGAAGTTCTTTATGGAACACTGGGACGCCATGTCATCCGGACCAGAGAGGACAAGGATAGCCCAAGTATTTATAAACGCTCCGTTCAGAAGCCTGCATCACTGATGGTATGGGGTTGCATGAGCACTTGTGGCATGGGCAGCTTGCATGTCTGGAAAGGCACCATTAATGCAGAGAACTATGTTCAGGTTCTAGAACAACATATGCTCCCATCTAGACGTCATCTCTTTCAGGGAAGACCCTGCATTTTTCAGCATGATAATGTCAGACCACATTCTGCAGCAATCACAACATCATGGCTACGTAGGAGAAGGATCCGGGTACTGAAATGGCCAGCCTGCAGTCCAGATCTTTCACCTATAGAGAACATTTGGCGCATCTTAAAGAGGAAGGTGCGACAAAGAAGGCCCAAGACGATTGAACAGTTAGAGGCCTGTATTAGACATGAATGGGAGAGCATTCCTATTTCTAAACTTGAGAAACTGGTCTCCTCTGTCTCCAAACGTCTGTTGAGTGTTGTAAGAAGAAGGGGGGATGCCACACAGTGGTAAAAATGGACTTGTCCCAACTTTTTTGGGATTTGTTGACGCCATGAAATTTGGAAACAACAAAATTTTCCCTTGAAATGATACATTCTCTCAGTTTAAACTTTTGATCTGTGATTTGTGTTCTATTCTGAATAAAATATTAGATGTTGGCATCTCCACATCATTGCATTCATTTTTTTTTCACAATTTGTTTAGTGACCCAACTTTTTTGGAATCCGGTTTGTACCATATTTTTTGGACTATAAGGTGCACCGGATTATAAGGCGCAATTTCAATGAACAAGTATGTTTTCATACATAAATCTTACTGGATTACCGGTATATGGTGCATTAAGCAAAACAAAACAGTCAGATAAGTTAAACTTTATTCAACTCGTTCACAATAACCACATAAAATCGGTTCGAGGTCAGTGAACACAACCAGAATTCTTACATAAGGCACACCGGATTATAAGGCTCACTGTGGATTTTTGAGAAAAATTAAAGGTTTTTAAGTGCACCTTATAGTCTGAAAAATAAAGTAGCTGTGGCAGCTGTAAATTACCCATTCCTAGATAGAAATGGACCATTTGATGTATTTAACATTCATGATTTGTCCTTTGTAATATACTTGTGCTTCTTCTGTTCGATGTACATTTGTCTCCTGAAGTCAGAAACATTTAAAAAGAAATTTTCATTAAAAAAAATGTTTTTTCAATTTAGTTTTTAGGTTTGAATAAAAAAATGCATTAATCTTCAGTCGCTGTGCCTCTTAAGTGAAAGCTGTTTACTATATAGATAAACGTTGATTTAGTCCCCTTCCCGGAGAAATGTTTAATATAATGAAATTTCACAGACAATGGGCTGCGAACTAAAGTGAAATCATATCTCAGAGGTTGAGCAGATGAGCACTTTTCCCCATGAGGATCTCCTTTGCAATATGGATGAGCTATGATATCTGTAAAATGCAGCTGCATTTTATGATAGGCTCTGCTTCCCTCTTTTTTGTTCTTGATTTTGTGTGTATATCTGCTGGTGTGTTACTGCCTGTGTGTGATGTCTTGTTCTGTAAGACCTGCTGGTGGAGATGCTGGGTGTACTAGCCAGCTACAGCATCACCGTGAAGGAACTGAAGCTGTTCTTCAGCATGCTACGAGGAGAAGGAACCTTCTGGGTGAGTCCTTCTAAGATTGAGGGTTGTGGACACAAGTCTGTTTGACATTTGTGTCACTTCCACAAACCATCCAATATAGATCTGTTTGGGGCTCACTCACTAATTCACTAACTGCAGATTAAGTGTAATCTGCTATGGTAGTGAGTGTTTGCAGTCTAATCAGTTATGAGATTGACTCTCTTGTAATTCTTGTTTCCTTCTCTTCTTTTTAAAATGTTTCTCCTGTGCAGCCAAAGCATGCAGTAAAAATGTTGTCAGTGCTGAATCAGATGCCTCAGAAACACGGTCCAGATGTCTTCTTCAACTTCCCTGGTCGAAGCGCAGCAGTAAGCACTTGTCTTAGTTTGTTTGATAAATGTCTGTTCTGTTTCAGTAACTGAGCTCAGTTTTGTTGTCTTGGTCAACGTGCGGCAGCTCTGGGGTTGATTTTAAATCATGGCACCTAAGGAGTGTCTGTTTCTGTGAGTGAGAGGCCCAAACTGAGTTAATCTATAAAAACATAACCAGGAGCAGCTTAAATCAGCCGAGTGTCACAATCAAGTCGAGCTGGCAATAACCACGAGCCCGTCATTTATCAGAGACACCTTGTTTCTTGTAGCTACATCTTTGGGTATGATTCTGTGATATGATATGTGATACATATGATAAATACTAAACAAACTTATTTATTTGGTCTGCTACATTAAATAAATGCTTCAACGTGTTTTAATGCAATCAGACTCCACTCTAGTTGTAACTACATTTGTTTTACTTATTATTATTATTATTATTAATATTTTCCTGGACTCTATTACTTTAAATGAATACCTTTTAAGTGGAGCTATTACCACATTCGAGTGTTCACCTCAAGATTTCTGTAATCAGCTTACAACAGTGTTTCTTCAACACATTTTTTTTTCTCTTTCTTCTCAGATGATGGAGGCAAAATTATTGTAATACGTCTTAAAACTACAGTGAAGACTTGAAGTTTGTGTGTATTGCTAATTTACAAATCCTTGATTTTATATTATAATACTTTGATCAGCTTTGTTTGTTTACAAGTCTCTAGGAACAAACTTTTTAACTTGAGTATAGTGGGTTTACTAAAGAAATCCTGATTAATTTCTTTAAAGAAAAAAAGAAATAAACAACATTAAAACATGCAAAAACTGACTTTTACAACAGACACAGAGCCATAATAAAAATAAGGTTTACTAAGAGCTCAGCACATTACAAAAACAAAACTGAGAACAAAAATTATGTTTCACTGCAATGGTGGCTGGTGGAGTTTTCTGCAGGGGGAGCTAGGGTTAGTCAGAAATGGCAACATAGACATTAGATAAAGGGTTTTCAGTGGCTTAAAGCCTACCTGCAGCAGCTAGCCTCTCACACATAGCCTGGTTGTGAGTGTCACTGCATGATCTGTTCTGGGACCGGAAGCACGATCTGCACCCTGTGCCTGTACCCTGGGCGCAGGAGAGGAGCGCCCAGAATGGTCCTACATCTTGTATTGAAGAGGAGTTAACTGCACATGTACAACTTTTAATGAGAGTCTATGGGCAAATATTTTTGCACCCCAGGGCGGAAATACGTCATCAATCAGAGACGACGTTTTTGAAAGAAACAACTTTACTCATCATTAACAATAAAATATTTATCTTGCACAACAAAAAAATATATACATATATTTCTAAATATTTTTGTTTTATTATTTCTTTTTTTTTATGTCTTATTCAAGGTAATGTGGTGGGTGGTGTGGTGTTTTTTTCACATTAGTTTTTTTTTAATTTACTCAAATACTCAAATTGAAATTAAAAAAAGCAAATGAAATCTTAAAAGACCGGATAATTTTCATATAAAAATAATGTTAAGAAAATATAATGTAATAAATCAGCAGTACTGTGAAAACCACTGTGTGTTTATCAGTTTTTGATCAGTTAGTTATTTTCTTAAAATAGGTGACTAAATACAGATGTCTTTATATTTGAATGAGCTGTATAAAAATAAATGCAGACATGACAACTTTTTAGATTTCAATCCTCTCCTCCTATTGTTCCTGTAAATCTAATACTTGAGTTGTGTACTTTGAAATGTTTAACCTATAAATACTCAGGTTTAGTGTGTGGGGCTTTTCAAACAGCCCCTTGTCCTGCATTTTTGAACGATTCGTTATATTTTGTTTTCTCCTGTTCGTCCTAGGCAATTGCTTTACCTCCTATTGCTAAGTGGCCTTATCAGAACGGGTTTACATTCAACACCTGGTTCAGAATGGATCCATTAAATAATATCAGCGTCGACAAGGACAAACCATATCTCTACTGGTGAGTGCTTACCGACACACATTTGCGCCCTGTGTTTTATGTAGCTGTTTTTACCTTTTGTATTTCTTCCTGCAGAAGCTTGTAAAGCTAATAGCATCTTTATTGACAAAGCACTATGCTGTCTGACACTCTGAGACTAACAGCGATTTTCTCATCCAGGAAGTTTACGACTGCATCTTGTTTTTCAAGGTTAAGCTAGTTTTACAGACAACGTTTTTTACCCAGACAACTTTAACATAACGCATTTAGTGTAAGTGCTCAATTTTCCCAGATAATGCTATGAATTATAATGGAGGGGGGAGGGGCAACAAGGTGAGATTATTGAGATTAAAACCCATAGAGGCATGAATTACTGCAGCTGAAACACTGATTGCTGCGAGTGGAGACACTATGAAGGTATTAATTTAAATTTGAATAAGTGCCACAGAAGGCTCACACACCAGCTCCCGCTGGGGCTTGTGGGTAATTATTGCAAAAATCAATAACCTCAAAGTGCAGTGATGCCTGGCTGTTGCACTTTCTGTTAAGAGAGGAACTCTGAGCGGATGTCATAAGAGAACAATCTATAATACAAAAGAGCTTAAGAAGAGAATGAAAAAGATTGGATGATGAAGATGGAGAGATGCAATTGGCTAGCAGGAGAAAACTAGTCTGTCACTTATCATCTGCTGGCTGTCATCACTTTACATGGGTCTAACCGTTGGACTGGAATAATCTGCTCACTTTATAAACTTGGTTGTCTCTCTGACGCATAAGATCAAAAAGGAGAAAAGATATATTGGCCAAGCAGAGATTTGGTATTCAAGTGGCAGCTTTTGCGTACTGACTGTCACAAGGAAGGGAGCGATATGCCAAGCTAATCCTGTTTATGCATTGCTCCGAGTGTCTTGCAGCTCAGTGACAGGGCATGTAAACAACAAAAAAGAATTGTATCTTCAGAGGCGGACCACGCTTCTCCAGCAGAGGGTCAAAACTCTCCACTCCACCATGTTAAAAAAATACATTTTTACCTGCTTTTTTTCAAAAACACACTTTGTTTTAGATGCCTCCAGTGGGTGGTTATGGATGGGGGCATGCAGCTTTAGACCTGAAGACAGTGGGAGTGAATTGAGTTTGTGTTAGTGGTGCAGAGAATTTCTTGTTTGAACTAGGACAAACTGAGAACTGTTTGTTTCTGCACACCGTGAGCTGCAGAATGTCTGTTCATGTTGAATTCAGTGAAAGTTTCTGCAGTCCTATTTCTTTTGTGCAGTCCATATGATCAGAGCGATGATTGACACAAAGCATTACTGCCGTCTTTACTGAGCATGAATTGTTTTCATGCCTACGCAGTTTGCTGTTACTGTAGTCTCAATATTCATACGTCTCGGCTGGTTGTTCCGTAATAATGTTCATATGTTCTCTTAAAATTTTTGTTGTTCACTCATTTCTCCTGCATTTTATTATCTGCAAATTCTAGGTTTAAACAAACAAACAAACAAACAAACAAAAAACTAGGTACCACTTTACAGTAAGACTCCCCTTATAGATGGATAATAAATAGTTTATAGATATGTTGTTAATTCCTCTATAAACACTTTTTAAATCATTAATAACTGCTTATTATGCAAAAATTAAGGGTGACAAAACCGACCAGTTTCTTTCCAAATAGTGAGCCAAATGTGTTCACCTATATTTAATCCAGAGTTTTTATATTAAACATTTCAGACCAAGTTACTACCTTGTAAGCACAATAAGCATTTGTAAACCTTATTTTTAGCATATAATATTGTACTTTATCACTGCATTAAAAGTATCTACAACTAATATTATATCCTAAAAACATTGGGCTTACAAATGTTTATTGAGCTTACAAGGTTGTAACTTAGTCTGAAATGCTTAATATAACAACTCTAGATGAAATATAAAGGTGAACAGATTTGGTTCACTATTTGTCAAGAAACTGGTCAGTTTTGTCTCCGTCACCCTTAATTAATGCATAATAATTATTAATGATTTTTAAAATGTGTATAGAGGAATTAATAATGTATCTATAAAGTATTTATTAGCCATCTATAACGGGAGCCTTGTTGTAAAGAGGTACCAGAAACTATTTTGACCCCGTACTTGCTACACAAATGAAAACCTTTTATTTTAACAAGGGCATCATTGCCAAAATGAACTGACTAAAGTTCTGACTTGCTTGGTGAAAACTTAATCTTTAATTTCAGCTATTCTTCTTGAACATAAATAAATTTGGGTTGGGTTTACCGTATTTTTTTGTTTTTGTTTACAGCTTTCGCACCAGCAAGGGCATTGGTTACTCTGCACATTTTGTTGGGAACTGCATGATTGTGACATCGCTCAAGTCGAAATGGAAAGGTTTTCAGCATTGTGTGAAGTATGACTTTCAGCCCAGGAAGGTAAGTTCTGCTTCAAGAGGAAGTGATCATTGAAATTAGATCAAGAAATCATGCAACTCAGACTTGCATAATTAAAAAAAAAAAATCTTTTTTTTAAATTAAGGATTATGATTATGCATGTTTTTTTAGCAGCCATTTGAACTAAAGTTGTATTTAAAGCATTTCTTGCATTTTAAAGAAGGAATCTGAACACGTCAACATCTTAAAACCTTAGTGCCTGAATGATCTAAGTGGTGGCTTAAAATTTAAAACAAAATGCTTAAAAAACAATCTTCAAATCACCCCACAGTTTTTGACACATAAAACCCCATCTTGTTTCCTGAACCATTTGGTATTTTTTGTCGGTAGTTTGTGTTTCTTGTGTATCTGCGTGAACACCTGAAGTGTTTAAAACCCGCTGAGAATTTTTCCATGTGTAAATGAGGATGGGAAAATGGAACCTAATTCAGCTTGGTGCATCCCTGCAGCATAGTTTTCCCTGTAGAGCTGGAAAAAAAACAACACTACACGTGTACGAGACAATTAGAGGCTTCACATAACACTTGAACAATGATTTGCCTCTTTCCAAGAGTCACAGTGCAGGTATTGTTTTGTAGAATCTTTTCAGAGGTAAAGTGCATTAATTACCTCTTGAATTGATTTTTGAATTCAGACATCGGTGGATTAGTGCAGCTCTAAAACGTCTTCAGGTAGCTTTCACTTCTCTCTGCGACAATAAATCGTCTTTAAAGTGCCCTTACTTTTGGGTGCACACAGCTGAAATGAGACGGCTCACTGTGACCTTATAGAGGCAAGCCAATAAATAATGACCACTCAGTCACAGGAGAGTCATCTGCTTTGGGTTCTCTTCAGCATTAAATGATATTTCTGTTCACCTGAAAGAAAAGGTTTGATTACTAAGCTCTGATTAGAACAAATAAAAAACACATTTTCCAAATGTTGAGAAACACTTTTTTAAACTGACACCCAAATAATTTGGGTTGTGCAAGCGTTTGCTTTAAAAACTACTTCATGTCATGAATACTCACATATTATAACTGAATTAGTTTCATGTTTCCTCTGCGCTTGAAAGTTAAAACCCTTGTCCATTCGGGGACAACATTTTATGCATTCACTTAAAAAAAATTGTTTAAGCATTGAAATTACATAGAAAATATGTTTTAGGATTTCCAAATTATATTATTAGAAACAATGAGTAAGAAAATCGTTCAACTTTACCACTGGAAAGACATCATCCCCATGTGCACAGGATGTATGTTTTATTTAACCAAACTCTAAATTAGTACCTTAAGTAGCAAGGATTATGGATATTTTTCAGTGTTCAGAGAAATTTCAATGTTTTTGTAGAAATCTAATGGGAACGCCTGTTTGATTTGAATGTCACAATCACCAGAAGCACAAAATGCATCTAAAATTCATGAAGTTGACCTTTAGACAAACAATCAATGTTGTTTTTTTGTAGTGCAATGCTGAGGCAATGAGTGTTAAAGGATTAAAGCTCTTTCAAACCTTTTATATTACAACAAATGAGCAAAATAAATTGTTTGCATTTTGACCATTTCCAGAAAGGTAAATTTAAAGGTTATTCTGATCACATTGAGCTTGAATTTATTATTATATGTTAATCATTATTTCCATGTAATTTTGGTAAATTGGGTTTTGACTCTTCGTTCTGCTAATATTTTGATTTTCTTTAACTTGTACTTTTTTCTATAATTCCCAGTTCCTTTAGCCAACATTCATTTTATCCTGTCACTTAATTTACATTGTTTCCAAGCTTACCCGTATTCTTTCTGAAAGTCACTTTTCTGGATGTAGTAATCTCTCCAATCCTGAATAAACCAGATGGGGATTTGTGTTAAGTGAAAAATGAGTTTCTATGCCTCTTGTTAGCCTTTCCTCTAATATATTCACTGTCTCCATGTTTAGAACCCTGTTAACTTACCTCTACGGTTAATTTTATTAATATGGTGGCAGGTCTAAATGTCTTGATTAAAAAATAATGCCCTAATAATAAACATTTAAAGGTGATTTTGTATGCTTTAAGATGTTCTGTGAACCCAACTTGTTTTAAATCGGTTCAACAAAAGAAAGCTAATGACCCGTCTTGATAATTAATTGGTCCTGTAACTCCTTTACTAAATCCTTTAATCTCACTTCTCATCCTCAGTGGTACATGATCAGCATAGTTCACATCTACAGCCGCTGGAGGAACAGTGAAATCAGATGCTACGTGAACGGACAGCTCGTTTCTTATGGAGACATGGCCTGGCACGTTAATACGAACGATGTAAGTACTTCCTCTGACTGTTGTCACGTGACACTGGTGTTTTTAAAACAGAGCTGACTGAAGCTGCCACAATAGTGTTCCCCTCATTTCTGATAACTGCAACTTAAAAACATGCATTTTCAGTAATGTTAACTAAAATAAAACCAGTTTGATTGTACTGCATTGGATATGGAAGATGGCTTTTTAAATACTTGACTCTCAGTTGTACATAGTGAAAGCAGCTCTGTTGCAGATACTTCACTGATGTGTGCACAGAATGAGGTTTCAACTCTGCTTTTTACTGGCACTGGGAGAGTTGAGATCCATCTTCAAAGAATGCACGATATTGTAGCTGTACATCCATGTTGTTTGGTTCATGAAATATTCCTCCACATTTTCTGCAAATGCTTCTGTTTGTGGTAGTAGTTATTGTAGAATTATTATTTTTTTTTGCAACTAACAAAACTTATTCTGAGGCCACAATGTTTTCTACATATTTTATTGTGTTGGTGGCAGAAAGTAGAAAATAATTATTTCAACCAAATCAGTGATTTAGAAATAGATGGAATGAAGCTGTGCATAATTATCATATCACAATGTGAGCTAACAACCATCTAGATAAAGATATTTTTTCCCAGATAACATCGCTGTGTACTCACTGATACAGTGCCACAAATGATAAGATCACATAACCAATGGCGTGAACAGAAAATATTCTGAGCTGTCAGATTAAAAAAAAAAAAGCTGTAATACTGAATGTTTCTGGTAACACATGGTAAAAAAGCTGTAAGAAAATGTATATAGGGTTTAGGGAAACCACTAGCAGAGTAAGGGTTGCTAAAAAAACAAACAAAAAATGAAACCAGATTTATCACCATTCAGAATCTGTTTCTTCTTTGCATTGTTTCATCGTAGCACTTTTTCTGATCCTGCGTTTAATATTTTTCTGCTGTCATTATTAAATGTATGCCAGATTGTCCGGTAAAGTGTTCATTTGTTTATATTTTATTGGCATATTTTTTATTAGAAGCTGAATACAAAAGTCATATTTCCAATCCAAATTCTGCACATTTACTGCTTTTGTTATTTGTAAAACACAACAATTTTGGATGAGCATAAAATGTTATAAGCTTACTTTTTCTTCTCTCCTGTTCTCCTCCAGAGCTATGATAAGTGCTTTCTTGGGTCTTCAGAGACAGCAGATGCTAACAGAGTATTCTGTGGACAGCTTGGAGCTGTCTACGTATTCAGTGAAGCCCTCAATCCTGCACAGATATTTGCAATTCATCAGCTTGGACCTGGCTATAAGGTATGTGCTTGTGGGCGACTTAAATTAGATTACACATAAGGAGTCTGCATCACCTATCCATTTGTAAAATTAATGAGCAGTGCTGCTCTGCTGTGTTTCCTTTGCCTTGTGTCTCCGCCTTGCTTTTCCTTTTGGATAAACAGCTGCATAAATTACTCAATCCTTGGGAATAATAGCACAATACACTGAGGGAAGCAGCAAGGACTCTGAAGGAATTGAGTCCTGAGCCAGTTTATATCAGCAAGTGTAGCTCTCCTGGGCTTTTTGACAAAGATCCAATTGAGAACAAAGATGTAGAAACATTTTGACCTGCTTAAAAGAGTTGATGTTTATAACAAAGCTGTCGTTGGTCAATGTTTGGCATTTTAAAATTTAAATTAGTTTTATATTTTTATTTTTTGCACAAATTATCAGAGTATTTCACATTTCTTAAAAGTAAGAGACATTTTGTGTCTGTTTATTCTAAAACACTTCTTGCCACTTCACAGTTTGGTTTAACCACCGCCGGTAGTGCTGCTGTTTCTTCATGGTGTCATGCCCTGCACTCTGCCTCAAAAGGAGCAGAGATGCACACTGGGAAATTCTCTCTGAGCACAAGATGGATCTCAGACAATTTGACGTTTCTGTGGTAATTTTATGCCACTTACTTTTCTCAATTCAATTCAGTTCAGTTTATTAATATAGCCCCAAGTCACAACAAAGGTAAACTCAGGGCACTGAACAAGAACATTCACATACATAAAAAGGCCAATTATTAAAGAAGCCAGCAGTTTGCATTGAGTCATCACTTTGTCGCAGTCTCCCATCCTGAGCAAGCACAAAGGCAACAGTGGAAAGGAAAAGCTCCCTTTTAACAGGAAGAAACCTCCAGCAGAACCAGACTCAAGACGAGCGGCCATCTGTTTCAACTGGTTGGGGTTGGAGTGGACAGGAAAGAGAAACGAACACAGAATGGCAGGTCTAGGTGTAACCCTCATTAGATAAAAGACAAAAAAATCAAAAACATAAAGAAATAATTATAA